CCAAATAAATTCACAATTTGATATATCGTCCATTTGTCTTAATCACTTACTTAATGTTTAAANGGGTGACCACTTGGATCAGTCTGCGTAGGGACCGAGGGTGTGCGGTATTGGTCCTCGTTAAACTGTGCTACCGTAAAGTGCTCGACTTCGCGCGCAGGTCGTCGGGCTACCGAAGCGGGGGTGCCATCCCCTCCGCAGAGGATCAAAATTGTGATGGCATGTTGTCGGATCATCCTCAGGGATGTTTCCCAGACCGTCGCCAATAGCCCATTGTGCAGCTCTAGTGCGACGTAAATTAACAACAACAACACTTACTTAATGTTTAAAAAAGTAAGGAAAAGTAAGGTCGGAATTCTTCATTCGGTTGTTAAAGTTGGACTGAATAGTAAAAAGGTGATTTTTTTGCTATGTCCATTTTCTTAAACACGCATTTGATACTGCGCCCATTTTTCTTAACACGCATTTTGAGCTATGTCAATTCTTTAAACACGCGTTATGAATTATGCCCATTTCTTTAACACGCATTTTGAGCTATGTCCATTTAAAAAATCCCGCATTTCGAGTTGCTTTTCATTTCTTATTCACGCATTTTGAGATATGTTCATTTTCTTAAACACGCATTTCAAGCTGCGTCCATTTTTTAAACCAGCAGTATGAGCTGTGTCCATTTTTTAAAATGCGTGTTATGAATTATGTCCATTTCTTTAACATGCATTTTGAGCTATGTTCATTTTTTAAGCACGTGTTACGAGGTGTGTCCATTTTCTTTCCCATTTTGAGCTATGCCAATTTAACGAAAAAAAAAATATGATTTCGAACTTTTTCGAATTTCTTTTTCATGAATTTTTAGCTGTGTCCATTTTCTTAAACACGCATTTCGAGCTTTGTCCACAGAAAAGCTCACAGTCGAAGTATTTAATAATGTGTAATATTGATGTATGTTTGTATATAAGTTGTATATATATATAAGTAACATGTGCCTTGGAAATTATGCTGAAACTGGAATAAAACTAGTGAGTCAAATAAGCTAGAGTTAACATCAACACTGCTATAACTTTTTTAGCTCATCTTGAGAGTAATATTGTAATGATAATATAATTTTATAAAATTATTGGTGTTTATATTATTGTTTTGATAGTTCTAACTCCTTTTTCTGGCCAAATTACTCTTACACCCCGGCTCGTGACATCACAAGACGAAAGCAAACCTGATTCTTTGCCTCCGATTTGCCTGGCCTGCTTTCAGGCAAGCATTGCCTGACGAAGACAACTTCGAGTCAGGCTAGAATTCAGGCGCGTGATGACTGGCTCTTTGGATTGCGTGGTTATTTTACGAGCAACTAAATTTTAAAGTGGTCTGATCAAGTTATTGGTCAAAAATGACATCACTATGTGTGGGAAGGGAGATGAGATGCATTGACTGGTGTTTATTTAACATAGGCTACAGATTTCATATCACCTGCAGATTTAGCTTTCACGTGATCTCTGGACTTATTTCATTCTTGTTCAGTCTGTAATAAAATCAATAATAAATTTATTAAATCGAAACAAAGAAAACCAAAAGCTGACTTGTTTAAAGGCAACATTTTCTGCAATTTTCCAACAACGCGTGTACAGAGCCACAAGTAGTGATGTCATTTTCGACCAATAGCGTGATACCTCCGCTTTGAAATTTAATCGCTCGTGTTATTTTTTGCTAATTTTTGCTCGGGCGGGGTTTTTATGCAAATATCAGGAATGGAGTAAATTTGACAAATCTTTTTTAAAGGCTTGTGACGTCAGAAGATTGCTTTCAGGAGTCCTTTTTTCAGTCCTCGGGTAAAAAGGTATTTATTTTTAATTTATAATCGTCGTTGAACAGTGGACCCAAATTTTTGGTTTACGGCTACTAATGTTCAACTACGTAGACTTGTAATTTAGAACCCAATCCAGAAGACAAGGGAACTCCTAGATCATGTATTAGGAGAAATTTGCTTTTGGGGAGGACTTTTTGATGGAACTAACCAGCCTTTGCGTTACATGGACAGGAACACCGCGAGAATCTCTCATGGTTAGCCCGATAGCAAGGGGATTTTAATCCATGATACTTTTACCATTGAGGATATTTTACGTCAGTACTGTGGTCGGTGCAAGCCGTATGCGAAATTCATATCGACTGGGAGTCGAACCCGGTTCACCTCATTGGAAGGCGAACGCTCGATCTCCTGAGTAAATACGTGTTAGGAAAATTTAGATAAACAAACATGAGGTAGCCAGTGGTAACCATGAAAATCTATAAGATTTTTATTTGGTGGGGCACTGAAAGCCTATGGTAATGGAAAGTTGCATGGTACATGTATGGCAAAATACCATAAGCCTAACACGGTTTTTTCGAATCTCTATGTTTTGTTCGCTGATATTTTACAGTGTAATTTTGTCATAGCGTTTGGACATAGGATACATTTTGCCTTTTACGATATCGTCTTGGATACTATTTAAACACTAGAATTTGGCAACTTAATGAAATCGCATTCTCAAGTAGGAAGGAAAAAGTAACAAGATGGATAATCAACTGTATCGAAATTCCTCCACCCCCGGTTCCCTTTAGAATGAGCGACACAGGGAACGAGGGAAAAAATTCTTTTCTGAACAAACTGATTATAAAATACCTATACATGTTGTGATTAATTTCGCCCATATATTCGAAAGTCTCAAAAATATTGAGCTGAAATCAAACATTTTAAAGGAAATATTTCAAAAGTGACCTTTAGTTAAAATGTTCTAATTTCAAGACAATGACCAGTCGAAATTTCAAGACATCTTACGAACATTTTTGGGAGTATATAGAGTCTGTGTTTTTCAAAAGAGTGAACCTGATATGGATTATTTTGTACTTCTTGAAAGTAGTTCTTTCTAAACTTTTATTTCTACGCTTATTATTTTTATTGCATCTATAACGTTTTTTCTTCGTTGACATCTTGATCATTTCTTTATTGACTTTTAAAAAAAAAGACATTGAATCAAGAAAATTATTTCGAAACATCTACCAAATATATATATAAATAAATTTTTTTCTGAAAATGGAACATAAATGGTATTTTTTATGGCAATCCGTATAATGAGAAAATTATTCCTTAAGCTCAGTAAACGACGCATTGATTTTAATGTAAGGTTTAGTAGGCTTAAGTTAAGCATCCAATGTTTTAAAATTTAGTGAAATACCTTATGGATACTGTCACTGATCTTTTGATCTTTCTTGCTGTAATAAATCACAAAATATTAGTTTCTTTTGTGTTTTTTAGAAAAGTAAAGTTAAGAAAAACAAAAGATCACTGATGAAGAATCATTGATCTGTAGAATATGGGACTCTTTTTTAGCTCTAGGATTCTTTTTCAGTTCCATGATTGAATCAGCTGTGTTTATATTAATAATAGATTTTATATATTTAAAGCATTGTTACTTCTCCATTTATCTTAATCTCGATTAACCGATTAGTACCGTTAACCGAAACCCTTTTGGAAGTGATTTTTATGAATATGCTGTCATAACTCGGATATGTATGTGGCTTTTAAAATAAAAGAAACATTCTTTGTATGACTGCATAGAATCGGTCATTTTTTGTGAGTAACAAACGAACGATTTGTTAGTTGGTGAAGTTGGTTGCTTTAGTTTATGAAAGAGTTTTTTTTTTATTTCACATTTAAAATGGTTTTTCCCTTAATTGCATTAACCCGAGATCTTGAAACTTTAATCAATTAAACAAGTTACTCAGATAAACGTATTGTCGAAAGTTTAGCACTCTACAGTAATTTTTTCTTGGTGTTAGGATCTTTTTACCATCAGTGTATAAGCTATTATATGTATAACTTGGAGAAAAAAAACGTACTGATATTTCAAAGTTCCGGCACTATACATCTCATTATTTACTGACCCTGTGCTTTTTTGATTTCTTAAATTCAAATTTTAAAAGTTTTTCTACTCAAATACCCCCATGACCCACATTCGTATAGCTGGAGCATGGCTAAAAACAAAGAAATGTTAAGTTCCGTCACTATATATTATAAGAGAAATATTGACGTTTTAATGAAGTGCCTTGTATATTCTCTAATATATCTATCATTCTGCAACTTGGTGTTGTGCATATAGACGTTCTTATAACAATATATCTGATCCTGTTTTAAAATTCGAGGTTGATAACTGTGATATTGATATATCTAACAATTCTAAATGAAGGGCTGGTAAAGATGATATTGCTGAAAAAAGTTAATAGTTGATTGACTTTTTTTTACTGATTCATATTTATGACACAAAATGTAAGGGCTATAGCTGCAATCTGGGAAGTGTGGTTTCTATAGTTTGGTCAGGAGAGTGCTTCAAAGTTTGGACCCCTTAATGTTAATTTTACTTTTTGCGTACTTCGCTGTATTTCGAGAAAATTTTAAGCAAAATTTTGAGTAACTCACTTTTTTGAAATTTAATTTATAAAGAATTATAATACTAATTTCGCCCAAATTTTGTTTTTTGCATTAGAAAGTTACACTTTTTAAAATGATGCAAGATCTTGTGTTCCTTAGAATTCTAAATTTCTTCCGATCATTCTTAAATAATTTATTTTTCGCATGGAATTATTTTTGAATAAACGAATTGTATAATTGTGCGCAAAATTTTTTCAATTCTCTGAAAATATATTGAAATATGTGTGGAAAAAAAAACATTAATGGGTCCATACCTTGAAGCAACTGACCGAACTACTGCGACCATATTTCAAAAATCCAAATTCTTCGAAAAAAAAAACATTTATTAAGAGAAAGTGCGTTTTTGTGATTGATTTCTTAATTTAAAATATCGTCTGCATCACTTATTAATTAGCATATTTGAAATCACCCCCTCCAGCCATTACGATTGAGTTCTAAAATGTGAAAATCCGATCATTGGATCAAAAGCTATTCAAGGTGGTCCTGTATAACAATAAATATATACTAAATGAATAAAGTGATAAAAACAAAAAACAAACATCGATTAATAAAAAATTTACATATATTTTATTTACGGAACAAATTAGAAGAATGTACAATTGATAATTTACATGAATATATACACAACAATGATGACTAGAATGAACGAAACAGTTCCAGATCGGTTTCCTATAACAGGAGAGTGTTCAACAACTATAAGTATGTCAAGTTCATAAATGGTGTTCTGAACAGAAGCTTCCAACAATGCTTGTTCGCTCTTTAATTCGTCTAATTCCATTTCGAACAATTGATTGTCTTTCTCGTAATTTATGCTCGTTACGTTGCCATATCGTAGAAGGTGATAGCTAGGAACAAAAGTATCCAAGTGAAATAAGTGCTAGGTTGGCCACTTGTCTCTGAAATAAAGGTAAACAAAAGTTTCATTCATTATTTTTTTTTTACATATCCTGTTAAATTAAAGGAGAAAAAACAAAAGTTTTAATATTTTATAGCCGTTGTTGAACAGCCGACCAAATTTTGGGTTTACCACTACTAATGTTCAACTCCGTAGCCTTGTAATTTTGAACCAATTCAGAAGACAAGGAAACTCCTGGATCAGTATCCCCAAAGGTATGATTTGTTACGGGAACTTAGAGAACTTTGAGATTCGACAGATTTAACATGCATCATCACCATTTACTACACGGGAAGTCTTTGGTCGGCGAGAATCGAACCCATGACCACATGAACATGGGCCCAGTGCCCTACTAATCAGGCTATGCCGGCCAAAAACAAAAGTTTGAAGAGAGTGCGGAAAAGCTCATTTATGCGGTATGCTGGTACATGTACAGTATTTTTATAGGTAGATAGGTACTTTATTTACGTCGCACTGGAGCTGCTCAATGGGGCTATTAGACATGGTCTGGGAAACAGCCCTGAGGATGATCCAAAGACATGCCATTGATATGCAAAAACATGCCAGAAGATGCCACAATTTTGATCATCTGCAGAGGGGATGACTCACCTGCTTTGGTAGCCCGACTACATGTGCGCGAAGTGCAGCACTTTACGACAGAACAGTTTAACGAGAGCCGATACCGTGCACCCTCAGTCTCTATGCAGGATGATCAAAGTGGTTACCCACCCGCTTATTGATAGCAGCTAGTGAGGCTTGACTTCGGTCTTCTACTGGGAATCATGTCTTTACGATAAGTTCACTGCGGGACCAGTATGCTTATAAGAAAGTGGATGTTATACAATGTGCCCTCTATGTTTCTATAACAAAATATCACAAACCATCTAGTTCTTAAAAATGACATCGGGAAGGTGTCAGTCTTACCCTGCGGGCTTTTACATTCTGATAGCTTGCATTATGGGAACTTTGTAATGCTTGATGCAGCAGATCTTTTCTACAGGCCTCCCTGGTCGAGAAATCTCAATAATCCGCCAAACGCTCTGTAGCGTGGTAGTGGGTACAAGCCTCGCCATAACCTTGGATATATCTTTATGATGTTTCTTTTTAACTTGTGCTATTTGTTCTTCAATTTGACATGGGTTTCTAAGCTGCTGTTTAAATGAGCACATGGGCCAGCATATTATTTTACTACATTTTAATTTTATTGCTACTCACACATATGCTATCTTGAGTGTAAGCTGGAATAACTTGGCTGGTAGGGTATTGAGCCGATATTTGAGAGGTCGAGAGTTCGATCCCCACCGACCGAAGACTCCCCGTGTACGAAATGGTAACTGGTGCACTCTGATTCTACCGGTGTCTCTAAGTTTCCATAACAATTGGATTGGAGATTGATCACTGGATTGGAGAATGATCATGCTCTGTTTCAGGTCAAAGCTACAATCCGCGGATGGATGGATTGCCTGTGAATGTGTTCTCCGTATAAAACGTGATGTTATGAATGTGTGCTGTCTCCGGATCATTTTCAGAGATGTTGCCCAGACCATCGCCAATAACCAATTTCATTAACCAGCTTTAAATAGAGATAAATAAAGTACCGTATCGTACCGCAGGCTTCAGTGCTCATTACAAAAACTGCTCATAAGTTTTTGTCAAGTAGAAGAACAAGACAGCAAAATTTAGAGAGGGACACATCAAAAATATGCATCCAGAGTTAAGGCGGGATTCGAAATTGCTACATTCACGCTTTATAACGTTTCGAAATACGATTTCCAGTAGATCACCGAAATATAGCATCACTGGCTGCGCTCAATGAGCTGGTGTGTGACTACTTTTATCAGCCTGCGATGAGCTGTTTGTTTGTTTATTGTTGCAACGTACATTTGCAGACTCGTGTGCTCAATTAAGGCTTATAAGCCTTTGTCAAGTAGAAGGACAGATAACACAATACGGAGAAGAAAATCACAAATAATACATCCAAGGTTACGTCGGGATTCGAACTCGCCACCTCCACGCTTAACATAGCGTTTGGTGGATGATACCGTTCGGCCAGGAAGCCCCCGATGAGTTGTTAAAACTGTTGTACCCTAAAGTGCTTGAGTTCGTGCACTAGTTTGTCAGGCTATCAAAGCAGGGGTACCAACCCCTTTGCTAATAACCAAAAATTATTTTCTCTCTCGAGGCGGTACTACTTGGTGCTGCCTCTCTTATTGTGCTATCTGTCCTTTTTCTACTTGACGAAGGTTTATAAGCCTATTTTAAGCACACAAGCCTGAAAATTTATGTAATTGCAATAACCAATAACTAACCAATAACCAAAAATTTGATGTCATGTTTTCGGATCATTTTCAGGGATCGTCGCCAGTTGCTTTTTGTGCATCTCCAGTGTAATCTAAATAAACTACAACTACTACTTATTTGTCATTGTCTGTCTCTCGGCTACCTCAGCCTTCTAGATGTCAATATCTTTGATTTTCTTCTGAAATCTTAAATTTTCAGAGCGTATTTTCGAAAGTTTAACTTCGCAGCCGTTTTTAAAAAATAAAATTTTTTCTCCTTTTACAAGAGAACGGATTAAACTCAAAAGATGAAAAAACTCAAAGTACAGTTGTACAGTGGACAAAATAAAATCTTGATAAGTTTTGTGTTTTCTGTTCAAGTTTGTGATACTTCATAGGAAAGAGATGTTTAAGTGTAAGGTTAGGGTTTTTAATTGTGATACCAGACATAATACCAGAACAAACATTCAATGAATGTTTATAAATATGTAATTACTGTATTTTTTATAAACCAAAATAACATTCAATGACTTAATCTAACGTGTTAACAGCTATGCTAACACGCCTTGGGATTTTCATGGCAAAAAGATTCCCTCGCCATGGTGAAAAGACTCTCTTCAAAATAGGTAAGTACGAATTTTAAAAGAAAATTTTTATACTTAACAGCAAAATGCTGACAATTTTCTTTAATGAAATCCTTGGTAAATTCGTTTTAACTTTTTCATCTGTGTCTTTCACGTTTGTTTTAATTAGTTGTTATTGTACTGTTATTATTGTATAATTATTTTTGTTACCCCAAATTTTTTTCTGGATGAAATTTTACTCTCTCGATTTTTAATGCGTGTAGTATTCAAAATTCCATTTCGAATTTTATCTCTTAAAGTCAAAGTTTTTTATTTTTCAGAATATAAAATAATTTTATTTCTCAAAACTATAATATGTTATACTTAATCGCCTGACTGTCATAATTATGTCATATTATTACTTAAGTAAAAATAATAAAATGGATCTATACCATTTCGTGATACAGCGTTATAAAAACGTTAGAAGTACAGTTGTACAGCATACGTTATCTTGACAAGTTTGTTTTTAAAAAAAAAATTGTGTTTTTCAACCAGTTTGTGATTTTTTATAGGAAATAAATGTTTGAGTTAGATGTTAAGATGATTACGTCTGAAGTTTTATGATTTGAGCAAATTTTGCTTTTTTATGTTTCAGTTGATGGAATAGACTGGTGTGGGAAAAATACGATTAGATAATTGTGTATTACTAATAAATATACGTGAAATGAATACTACGGGTGGTGATTACAGAACACCCTGAATATATATTTCAGAGAATTCTTATTATAAATCGTCCCGCAGTGGACTGATCGTAAAGATCTGGTTCGCAGTAGAACACCGAAGTCAAGCATCACTGGCTGCGGTCAGTAGGCGGGTGGGTGACCACTTCGATCAGCTTGCGTAGGGATCGAGGGTGCGCGGTATCTCTCCTCGTTAAACTGTTCTACTGTAAAAGGTTAGACTTCCCGAGATAGTTCGTAGGGCTACCAATGCAGGGGAGTCATCCCCTCTGCAGAGGATCAAAATTGCGATGGCATGTCTTCTGATCTATTTTCCACCGTTTGCAATGTAAATTCTTTACAACTGATTTTAAATTGACCCAAATTTTAATAAACCATGGAAATTTGAAGAGACATTTATTTAGTTTCCATCTGGTGACCAGTGGAATTTGTGCTTGCGGTGATTCTGATGAAGATGCTGAGCACATTCTTCCTCATTGCAAACTGTATGCGAGTGCCCGAATTAAATTAAAGACTGATTTGAGGCGTCTTTCTATTTGTTGACCTCCTGTTTCTTCAGAACTGGTCAAAAGTATCGAAAGTCTTACTGCCTTGCGGAACTTTGTTTTTAATGTAAATTTGCGAATTTTCTTGTTTTTGTTTTCTACTTACTTCTGTAAGTCTCATTCTATACTTTGTAGTGCATGAGGACTTTTCAATCGTTTAAATAAAAAAAGTCTTCGGATTATCCTCTGGGATACTTCCCAGACAGTCGCCAATAGCCCATTGTGCATCGCTAGTGCGACGTAAATAAAATACCTACCTCATATTATAAACCAAATATGGTGAACATGTGTATCAGTAGAAATGTCGTATTTCATCTTTATTTAAACTGAAATTTGTATTTATATTTTTTTAAAATTTACTCCAGAATAAGAAAATAAAACTACTCAAGTATAAAATTTAACATTAATGAAATGAAATGAAAATAGTTTTCAATGGCCAAAAAAAAAAAACTTTTAACACCGATGTTACAGAAATTGAGAGTCGGATTCGCTGGACCGAACAGATCATAAATTTCACAACCCTCGAATGGCAACATCATCACTTAAACACCTCGTGATTTTCTCTTAACTCGCAAGAACGGTCCCAACAATTTAAATTCCTGCAGGGGGTTTCCCAGAAGAGAACTCGAAAATTTGGGCAAAAGAGAAATAAAAGAAGCAAAAAACTAGTAATTGTACGACTCAAAAATAAATAGCGGTGACAAGCAAAAGCGAAAATTCCATTAACTATTTTCAACACACACAACAGTAAGATCCGAGTTTTAAAACAAATTGCTTCTCCATGGAGCTGTATTCTCTTCTTAAAAGAGAAGAAACAAGGTGAAGGTTTAAATGAGATATTACGAGAAAATTACCTTCTTTTGCCTCCTTCCTCAGTTGGGGTGGGTCATTTTCTTTTTGGAGTCCTTTCGAATCTTCTACAGTATTGATATGTTCTTTGGTTCTGTAAGCCCCGTCTGGATTGAAAAACAGAAGAAGAGAATTAGGCCTCTTAAAACAGATATTCTTGTTGATGAGGTAAGATAATAGAGGACTGAGTTTTATTTATTTAAAAGGGAGAAATAATCAAACATTTAAGCTTTTTTCCTTTTTTTTTTCCAAGAAGGTATTAGTTTGTTTTTTTCATCAAATGGAAAATTAAACAACAGCGAAATAATGCTTTTACAGAAAGATTTTTCTGAAAGTAGCTTAAACTTATAAAGCTGCGAGAAAAATGCTTTAGTAATATGGCCTTTTTATAAATTTAAAATGTATATTACTAAAAGGTAAATTTTATTTTTGTTAAATTTTTTTTACATATTCCATCGTTTTTTAGGAACTAAAATGAAAAATTTAAATATTTATAAATCGTCTGGGGAAAACAAAAATTACATTTCATTTGTATTGTTAACGGCAACGTTGAAACTCGTATGTTTTGCTTTATCTCATTAAAAATTACATAAACATTGTTTCACTACGCGCTTCAAATTTTATTTAAATAGTGTTTCTTATATCTTTCTTCAAGGTGCATGCATTTTAAAATCACTTCTTACTCGCATTATTTTTTTATACAAATATGGTAGTATCTTGATTAGAATATTAAAATAAAACGTCTTAAAATTCCATTTTAAATATATAGAGCTTATAAAAATTTATTCTAATAATGCTCTATTAGTGTGATAGTCTAACCAGATTGTATTAATAATATATGAAATAAACGTAATTGAAGGGAATTATGGGAGATGTAAAATTTTATCTAGTAAGCAAGTAGATTAAATGGAATTATAAAATGCATGTTTATACAAATCTAATTTTGTTACAAGTTAGTTTCCATCGCTTTAATTCAAATGCATTGTTATAAAAATATTATGTGTCTAATCTACAGATTAATAGCTATTAATTAGTAAGCTTAGAATAATAGTATTTGCGTAATTAATTACATAAGAATGACTTAAAATTTACGAATTATTTTATCCTTACCTGTAGAATTAGTGAAGGAAAGTTTGTTCGTTTAAATGGCAGCAGTTCTAGGTGTTTATTTCAGACAAAATCGTAAGTTTTATGTAAGTAATGCTATGTAAGTAATGTCATGTAGGTAATGTTATGCAATTTTCATTGTTATTTTTCCTATATCTTTACTATTATAATTTCACGTATTATATAAGTTAAAAAAAAACTTTACGTTAAGTTCTGTCAATATTTTAAAATGGTAAATATGACTAACTTACTATAAGATTGCTAACCAAGGTGGTAGTCAGTAAATTAAATGCTTGCAATTCCATGATTTTAATTGGAAATTGTTTAATTTTAATCAAAATTCATTGCCTCAAAAATGACTAACTTGAAAAATCAATTTACGAAATAAAAATAAGAAATGTACTGTTTGTATCGTTTTACTTTGGAAATTCTTACCAAATTACAAAGTTGCTGGCAAAGCTTTATTTTTTTTATAACCGGCATTGAACAGCTGACCCGATTCTAAGTTTACGATCATCAAACTTCAACTCCTTAGCCTCGTAAGTTCGAGCTCAACCCAAAAGACAAAAGAACTCCTGGATCAAGGATTGGGAAAATCTAGCCTTCGTGGAGGACTATTTGATAAAAACTAACCGGCATTTGAAACCCGATGACAAGGGGACTGTAATTAATGATCGGCCTACCAGTGTGGTTAGTGCGAGCCAAGTGCAGAATTCATATCGACCTGGTTTGGATTCGAACCTGGGTCAATACTTCGGGAGGCAAGTTCTTTATCACTTTGGTAACCGCGGTTCAGCTTGTAAAGTTTATATTTCTTATTAATAACCGTCGTTGAACAGCCGACCGAATTTCGGGTTTTCGACTACTAATGTTCAGGTCCGTACCCTTGTAATTTTGAACCCAAACCCGAAGGCAACGGAACTCCTGGAACAAGTATTAAGTGAAATTTACCTCCGTGGAGGACTTTTTGATGGAACTAACCAGCATTTGCGTTACAAGGTGAGGAAAACCACGAAAGCTTCCCATGGTTAGCCTGACGGCAAGGGGACTCTAACCCATGATCCGTATACCTCTGAGGCAGGGCTCGAAAAAACTCAGAAATTTTATCCGTCCCTGAGGACGGCTTATCCAACAATGCACCCGTCCTCCTTTGAAACTAACCCGTCTCTTCAAAATAAATAAAAATATAATTTTCTCTTATTTATTACAAACATTTATATAAATTGCACAATGAATTAGTAGTTACTAGGATTACATTATACAGTAATAAAAGAAATACAAGGTTACTAATAGTAAAACCTAGTATTTCTATAATGAAATAATTTATTTCTTTGATGAAATAATTTAAATAACAAAGGTTAAGCTATCTGTCAATTATCATGTAAATTTGTCCGATGGTACTGAGTTTTTTAAATGAATCAAATATGACGTTTGCCAGTTCCACAATCAAGCCAATGATTTACAGATGTTTCTGCACAGAAATCTGAAAGAGGTTTTCCATTTAGGTAGATGTTCATAAATGCTTTTAACGCTTCTTGTTTAAGACCAGTAAGTAATGCGCTTTTTTGTAAGTTCATTGCTGAAAAGCCCCTTTCAACCGCTGCAGTACTCCCAGACAGAGAAAACATCAATTCCACCATGCGCAGTATGTTGCTGCATTTCAAGATTAGAGGGTCATTTTAGAAGTGAGGCGCTGGACTCTTGTAAGATAACAAAAATTGAAAATGTATCACGAACATTAACGGGAAAATGGCCGTCCGCGCGAACGCTGGATTCGAGAAATTTGTTGTCCTCAGGGAATTTTTGACCGCCGAGACCAGCTATTTCTGGGATTCGAAACCAGTTCACCTCATTGGAAGATGAACGCTTTATTCCCAGAGCCACCACGGTTTTCAGGCAAGGTTTGTCCACAGATGGCACTGTGATTAGTAAACGCTATGAAACACACTTTCAACTCTAGATAAGTAAATATTCAGACCCCTGACTCCTGTTGCGCTCACAGTACCTTTCTTTATAACTAGTTATCGAAGCCCTATGTAATTTTCGTGATATGCTGTGATCGTCGTCTAACAGTCGAACGTGGAAGTTACTTTGAATATTGAAATGCCCCCAAAAAACGAGGTTAAAATGGACAAGCACTGAATTTGTACTTTCCGTCAATCTATGATACGCTGAAGAGCAAAATGCGTACGCAATTGCTGCAACTAGGCTATTGTGGGAGTTTTTACATCAGATAAATAATGATTTTCACCATATTTCTATTTTTTAATTGAAGTTTAATAGTACTTTAAGTTATGCTATTTTTTCTGAAAAAACAAACAAAGGGAATATAAAAATGTACTTGTTTTTAATTCGTTGTCTATTAGTCGAATGATTTGTTACAAATTAACACAGATTTAAGTTCGGTTATCTAGAGTAAAAATAACGAAAATTTTCAGCAACATGGTGTGGAACAAAATTAACAAACGCTATTTGCAATTTTTTTTCATTTAGAATTCTTCAAAATGCAGTTGAAGGCATGAATTTATGATTGTTTCCAAAGAGCGCCGGATTCTCATGATCAATTTTGTTGACTTAGCTGAAATGTTTTGAGATTACTTTTTTCTTGTTTCCCAAACAGAACTCAGCAAATCGTATGTTTTTATAGCCTTCCTCATTTAAATCGATTTCTGAAATTGTTTGTTATTTTTGACACCTTGTAAAACATATAGCTAGTAAGGTAAAATGTGTTTATTTACTAATTATTCAAAAAAAAGTTGCTATGAATATTTAATAGTTATTACTTGACATAGTATAAGATACTATACGATAACTTAACTATACGATAACTTAACTAATCGATTTGATCATAAGAAGCTGAAAAAGCAGTTCTCAAACTATTGTTATTACAAAATAAGCAATTATTTCTATAATTTCAAAATTATAACTACTTTTCACTATTATAAACTAGCTACTTCAAAACAGGTTCAAAATTTAACAAAACAGCATTTTATTTGTCACCTCTTGACTTTTCACTCAAACATCTTGTTAACGTATTGAATAATCATACGCAAATAAATATATTTGGAACAAACTATAAAATTTTAGTCATTAACATATTATGAAGCAAATTTCATTTCGTAATATTTTCGAACTTAATAGAGTAAGTTTTGAATGGGAAATTCAGTTATTTTCTCCAACAGTGAGTTGTTACGGAACATAAATAATGCTTCGATTGGGCTGAATTCACCATTTTGATTGTCATGCACGATAAGGACTATTAATTCTGAATTCCGGCAATATTCATTTTCGACTAGCGTCAAGGGAATCAATATCTGATTCTGTTAAAATGAATGAAGCAATTCTGTGATAACATAAATAGCTCCCAGGCAATTCACCTTCATTTGCTTATAAATGGGATTTATAAGTAAGATAAGCAAATTTCTCCTCTTACCAGCAGATCTGAATCACTGTTCCTTTACACAATCGGTAATGTTGTAGACTAAAAACAATAGTTTTTTCTGAAAATTTTGATTTTGAAGTGATTAACTTAAAAGTGTTTTAAAATCAGGAGAAAACCGTATAGTTGCACAGAATATAATTTCAGCGGTTCAGGGTTTCTTACATGCTATGAAAATGTTAAGCAAAATAATTCTCGAAAATTCAAAAATTAATTTATTACCAAAAGACTGTTACTAGTTAATTATATTAGTCAATAAATATTGGTAATATTGAACTTTTAATGATATTAATTAAACCCTAAGTTTTATCGTTTTTCGGATTGAAATTAATCAGACGAATTTTTGTCTGCTTATTTCAATGGTAAAAATGATTCTGCAAATAGTTGGTTAAATGTTTTAAGTTTAAATATTCAACGCTAATGAAGATTTTTCAAACGTTAATAAATTATTTGGTGCGAAACCGTAGATATTGTTTTTATTAAATGTATTATTTCGGAATAAATAAATTATAACAGAGTTCAAGATGTTCAAGCTATGTGATCACTTTAGGAGTTTGTCTTTTACACGTAAATACGACCATAACGACCCTGAGGTTCTCTTGTGATATTTTGTTTTTGTTTTTCCTTTTTTGTTTTTAAGATTGACTTAGTTTACAGCCCCGTATGGTATCCTCTGTCTGAGCGTGCAATGGAATTTATTATATTAAATACGAAAAATATAATAAGTAAGAATGTATAGAATGGAGTTGAATAGTTTAGATAGTCCACCATAGTTACCTGTAAGTTATTTCAATTGATTAAATATGCATGTTTAGAATATTAAAACACAACTTCTTATTTTATTTTACTTTTAAAATTTCAGGGTTAATTCTCCCTTAGGAAATTTCTTTCACATTGATACCAAAACATTGATACCACAACTTTAAGTTATCTCTGTTTTTTTTTTAAAGTTTGTTTTGCTCCAGACTGAGTTTATAGTACGCTTTGATATACAAAACTTTGAGTTCGTACTGTTTAAATTTGATGGAGCATAACAGATTAATGTAATTAAGTTCTATTAATGCAACTGACGGTATAACATTTTATTAAGGAGAAAAAAAACTTTTTTTCTTAGAAATATCACTTCAAAACAGATTTCTATTGAGACAACTATTTTAGAGTTACTGCGTTTGCAAGTAATGACTAGTTGCTGCTGTCATACGCATTAAGGTAAGGAGTGCTATTGTTCTTGTTTTCAAGTGGCGCCATCTATGACCGAAAATTCGACTTCTGATACACCCAATATTCATACCCGTTTACAAGGAGGACCACTTCATAAATCCATTCATAGAACGTTATTGTGACCTGAACCAGAGAACGATCTGTCTCAAATTCAGTATCCTCAGAGGTATAAGTTGTTACGGGAACATGGAGGATTTTGTGACCCGACAGATTTAGCGTGCAGCAGTCACCATTTACTACACGGGGAGTTTTCGGCCTTCGCTGGATTCGAACTCCCTTCAAACGAACATGAGTCCAGCACCCTGCCAACCAGACTACCCCAGCCCAACGAACTAGTAAATCCATTTTTCGTTCATTTTCGGACAATCAGTGACTGCAGAAAATAGCCTTCATAAAACAATAAAATCATTTCGTATTCTAAAACGAATTGAAATTATCAGTGACATAAAACAATGATATAAACAGTGATATAACAATGATATAAAAACTAAGATTGAATAACAATGATTATGTTAACTGATGGAACGAAATTATTATAAAATAAATGCGATAGTAAGAAAATAAATTGCTTTAAATAGCAATGTGAAAATGACATGAAAGAAGCCTATGGAAAGACAATTATTAAAAAAAGTAGCTTTGTAAATATGCTTACAACCGTTAATATGTCGTCAATATGCTTACATTAATAGACGCGTTCAAAAAATTATTCTAACAAATTCATTAAGAAGTCTTTTCCTAAATTTTTTTTCCTTTCGAAATGTTTCATAATAGTCGACAAATACATCATTTAAACAAATTTGTGACTCGAAATGCTGTCAAAATAAATGCCACATAATAAAGAATAAAAAAAAAATGAAATAAAATACAGCTAAAACAACTGGGTTATAAAACGATGTAAAAAAACAAAACAAACTTTGTTAGATTCTAAAAGAAGAGGTAAATTACCTGTCAAAACCGGCCGCTTCCTTTTGTTGGCAGCTGAATTTTCGGTTGAGTCCTTCTCGGAGCCGAGATGTTGATGTTGCGGAAATGCTACAAGAAGAGAAAAAAAACACACACGTGATTTGGACACTTAACTATGTTTAAGATTTGAAACAAAGAGACTTTGGATTAATAACGCTTCAAAGAACATTTTTATAGAGTGATTTGGTAGTTGAACGAAATTATTTTGATTCTCGCAAAAAGCATAATAGATATGTATTTCATACTATAATAAGTACATTTTATCAATGGAAATCTGTTATTAATTAATTGGAAAGTAGTTTATTGAAGTTATACTTCTTATGCGACTTCCAACAAGGTTGCGTTAAACGTTTAACGCTATATTTTTATTGGCCGGGAAATCACGTGGTAGGATCCAGTTTTCCCTCATTCATTTCCATATTGTTTTGGTTCTCACTAGCATAAAAATAATAAAAGTATTGTTTTTCTATAAATATTTTTTTAGTTTGTTTTGATACACATATAATTTAATAGGGTAGTATTTTTTATTTTCAAATTTAGTGGATAACAATTGTAAAAAATGAGTGAAAACAATCCCACGGACAATGCGACGGATTTAAGGTTATGTCAAGGTACGTCTCTTGTGAATATCAATTGATTGTTAGGTTTTCTCTTCTGAAATTACATTATGACGCATTCACATACATTATTAATACAAATACATTTTCCAGGGCGAGACGATGAGGCAACCACAAGCACTTCCACTGGTTCAAGAGGTCCACGAGGGAAAAATGCACAATATTACCGTGATTACAGAGCACGGAAGCGAGCGGAGCAGGAAAAAGAGTCGTTGAATAGAACTAGTGATCCTTCTACGACTGCTGATTCTTCTACAATTAACGTCGCAGGTTGCGAAGTTTAACTTCTTCCGCGCGGAGGGACTCCACGCACTATTTTTTTTTAATTGATTGGAAAGTAGTTTATTTTTTATACTTATTAAAATTTTGAAGTTTAATGGGGAAAACACTTATAATATTTATATAACTTATTTTAAACTTTATTGGACATTTGTTTTGCTAATGTAGACTATGGGAAATATTCCAAAACATTTTTAAAGCTCAAAAAGTATCCATATGGATTGCTATCAAAATATTCATTTTTACCGTTTTTAAAACCATTCAATAATTTTTTTCTTCTTAATTTTGTAAACAATTTTGTAAACAATTTTGTATAGTTTATGTATATTAAATAATAGGGGCTGGGTTAGCCTGGTTGACAGGGTGCTGAACTTACGTTCGTGGTGAGAACGGGAGTTCGAATACTCCCCGCGTAGTAAATGGTGACTGGTGCACGTTAAATTTGTCGGGTCATAAAGTCCTTTATGTTCATTAAAAATTGTACCTCTGGGGGTACTAAATTGGAGATAATCGTTCTCTAGTTCAAATGAAAATTATGATCTGTGGATGAATGCATGGATGTATAAATGGTTACGCCCCATATACTTGTGTGGCAGAAGTCGAATTCTTGGCCATAGATGGCGCCACTGGAAAAAAGTACAATCGCACTCCTGACTTTAACGGACAACAACAACATATTAAAAAATTGAAGTTCTAAAAATTCCTAAGCTATGATCCAATATTCCAAAAATGATCTAATATTTTACTGTTTCGCAAATCTTAATGCTTCCTAAGCTTCTAATTTACCCTCTTTGTCTTTATAAAAACGAATATATCAAAAAGGATAATTCATCTCAACTGTCAAACCTTTCTTTTCCAGTCAAAACTGCCGAAAGAGAGGAAGCACGTTACAGAGCACGTAGGACGAAAAGAGACGGAGAAATAAAACAGTGCACTTGCTCTACTTCTATTCTAGCTCTAAGGGGAAAACATAATAGGAGTAAATTTACACTTTCATATGATTTCAGGCAGTTCTCTAAGTAGCCGCACAATTCGCTATCCCCTAAAAACTGACACGGTTACAGAACATCTTAACGAAGAACATTGCAAAGTAACTAATTTCAAATGACTTTGATATTAATTCTAATAGGGAATTGATAAGTTGCAATCATGATTTCTAAATTGCTAATTGTTAAAAGTACTGGATTTTATTTTTTTCTCAATGTTTCAAATTTAGCTTTAACGCTTATTAATTTTTCGTCTTCTAATTTTATGTCAGCTGAAATTTGGTTACTTAATCACGTAAAAAGAGCTTCGAACAATCTTCCGTTCTTTCTGAATTCCATCCATTATATTATTAATACTTTATACAAAATTCGAAATTCTTCTTAAAACCACGTCTTTGTTCAACACAATTGTTAAGAGACTCTACCAGAAAGTACAATATTCTGTCGTTCTCTACAATAAAACTACTAAACTAAAATAAAATTATTCTTAATCCATTAAAAAAAAAAGGAAAAAAAAAAAAGAACAGGAAACATAACACTTATTTCACACAAAAATTTGTTCTATAATATCACCATAGCAACCGATCATACAAATTCTAACTTATAGCTTACATATACTGAAATAACAAATAAATAAAATCTAGCTTACAACTTGCATACATTCAAATAACAAATAAATAAAATCAAGTACTGTTAACACATATATTAATTTCCCTCCATTGCTATTAAAAGTACAAAACATGGATGCTTTATATTTGCGCATTTTCTTTTCTTCTATTCTAGTTCTAAGGATAAAATATAATAGCTAGACATTTTCCTATTTGGAACTGATTTCAAGCGGCTTTAAGCAATCACTCTGTTAGCTACTCTCTAAACACTGCCCCGGTTGCAGAAAATCTTAATATTCGATTACAAAGTATCTAATTTCAAATGAGTTTGATTACAATTGTAACTAGGAATTGTTATTTGCCATCGTGATTTCTGAATTGCATATAATAGTACTGATTCTAGTGATTTATTTAACAATATTCAGATTTAGGAGGTATGGGAGATGCGTTTCCCGTTATTTAACGACTGAATAATGACATGGTTTTTGACTTTTTACATGGTTGTTTTATACGAAATAACAACGCTCGAAATAAATTTTTTATGAGGTTATTAGAATTAGCCAAAGAATTAAAAATAAAGCTAATTTAAAAAATAGCATTGCTTGTGAAAATCCGGTTACAAACAAACAAACAAAGCGTAATCACTAAATGTTAGACCAGTGTATAGTTTGTATATGGGCAGAGTGTTTAAAACATTATAATTTCAATTAATTATATATTAATACCACTTCCTCTAATGAACGTCAAATTATTAATTATCCTTGTTTGGTTAAGTCACTCATTTCATTAATGAATGATATTACCCCTGGCAAATAGAATACAAGGATCGAAATACATTTACCATAATTATATTCATTTTTCATATTTTCGTCTTGTATTAAATACTTTTAATTCTCTTCCCCTTCTAATCTATCAGAGAACGGCAACAACTTCCCGAAGTGGTAATTGCCCCCAAAATTGCCCTAATAGCGATAGAACCTTTAATTGTATTTCCATCTGCTGCTATGTTAAAATCGGATGTGGGGGGACCTGTGTAATTCATTTTGACTGCGCCAAAAACATTACAAGCCAAGAATGACAGTCAACCCGTCCTTGGCGCTGTGTAATGGCTGACAGATCTACTAATGATCGGACCAAGCTCGTTAGCACAGCCAATCTAATTACCCTAGACCTAATGGTATTGATAACGCCAACAGCGGTCGTGAACTTTTATTAAAAGTGAAAATGGAAATTCGATCGATCTCGCGAAAAAGGAGACGTCTTTAATGAAAATGGCAACAAAAAAAAAGTTCGAAAGATTATTCGGGAAATATTAAGACGAGAAGAGCCTACATTAATAAGCCTGAATCCTTGACACAGTCGCCGAAATTAAGATAGTAATCATCGCTGAACATTCAATCAAGATGAAGATTTCTAGATGAAAAGGCTGGCATCTTTGGGCTCATTAGGATGTTTTATTGGCGCGTTTAATGGCGAAATTAAAATAGGGCTACCACTTAAGGTTGTGCTGTTGTTGGAAGATATTAGATAGAATCTTGATTGCCACTGTTTGCCATGGTTCAGGGGGTTAATAAATCCAGAATTTGAGAGATAACACTATCACACTTACTGCAGTTATAAATCCTGTTATTTTGAAATACTTATTAGCTCCTCGATAAGCGTTAAATGGAGCAACAGATACCTTAATCGTCTGCTGAACACATGCTTCATTTTATGTGTGTTAGTAATATCTATACAGTTTTCGAACTTCCACGATTGCTAAATCTTTCTTTTGCCTCAAGTTATGCATGAAAATGCAGAAAGTTTCGAATGAAAGTGACTAAGACAAAACCATTTTTCTACAAAATATTGTGTGAACAAGATCTAATGTAAACATGATGTTGATTAGAAAGTTAATGTTAAAGTTATGCATGAAATGAGAGAAAGTTTTGAATGAAAGTGACTAAAACAAAACCATTTTTTTACAAAATATTGTGCGGACAAGATCTAATGTGAACATGATGTTGCTTAGAAAGTTACTGTTCAAATTATGTATGAAATGAAAGAAAATTTTGAATTAAAGTGATTAAGACGAAACATTTTTTTACAAAATATGTAGACAAGTTCTAATGTGAACATGATGTTGCTTAGAAATTTAATAGATAAGCGCACGGGTGTAAAATACTAACAGTATTATTAAAATATGAAAAATCCACATGATCCCATCTGGGAGGTTGCTTTCTTGAGATAAATGTCAATGTCAGTTTCACAACCTCGATTTAACTAGTCAGTGATTTTTTGTCAGATTAAGTTTATGACACTGTATAGCTCCTTACGTTGAGTGTGCAATATTATTTACCGCAATTAAACAGATTCTGACTTTTCTTGCCATTAAAACTATACTCTCCAAACGTAGAAAAGTTCTTTCTTATAAACTTTGTAAAATTAACTGAAATTAATGAACAGACAATTTTGCTTTAAAATAATATTTTAGCGGTTTGGAAATCAAAAATTCAATTTCTTTGAAAAATGCACAAAATGGTTTACAAGAAATTTCAATAAGAATTATATGCATGGTTTTTACAGGAAAACTTCAGGTAACTGATGTTTACATTCGTTTAATATTGATCATTACGTTTAATTAAACATTTTAATAGACATTTTGAAATTTTAGAATTATTGTGATTTCCTTGCAACTTTTAGTTCCTTGATGTACCTTAACCATATCCAAGTTCTTTAACTTTTCCGTTGAAAATAAATGGAGAATCATAAGTAAATTTCGCAGAAAGTGAATTGCATCGTTTCTTCTAGAAATAACAGCCACCTTAGAAACCGGAGCAAATTTTCTGAATACCTACGAAGGAATCACGTTTTTTATGGTAGTTTTTATACAAATCATATACCCTCGGTATGATTGTATTTATAAAAAAATCTTACATTGCGTGCCGATAATGTTTTCTGTTGTGGTTTGCTTTTTTTGTTTAATGTGTTTAGTTGCAGTTTTTTCGTTGCTGCATGCAATACACGCCAGACACCAGCTTACGTAAGTTCTCAAGCTATTTCCATCCTTTGTTCAGCACTTTCAGCCTAAGTTAAATTTTTTCAAGATCTCAATTCACAATTGAATAGAGAATTCGGTTGAAAGTAGGTTAATGGAATTGAGGTACTAACTGTATCAACGACCCTTTTTATTTAAATTTTCCAAAAGTAGGTATAAATTTGTTCTGCCAAAACATAAGAAATAGCTGTAAAAATTAACTTGAGGTAAAAAAAAAAAGAATTATACGAAATAAAAAAATAAATAAAAAAGACTTACCTTCCGAACTTTGGCGCCTAACTGAAGAAGTATCTTTAGTTGGTTGACTTGTTGGAGGTTGTATTTCTGCAAAACAAAACTTTGAATTAAAAGTAATTGAAAAACTTTTTAATACTAGCTGCGATTAAAAAGCAATACTTTCATGCCACACCAATTTAAATTTTTAAAGAAATTCACAATGATTAACACAAGTTTTCAATAAGTTATGGCGGGCATTGTTTTTGATGTTTAAACACTTTTATAAATAATTGAGCATGAACGAAACAGTTTACACACTTTAAATAATTTTATGAAAATAGGTAATTGTAAGGTAATATTAGATTTGAGAAATAAACCAAGTTTATAACGAAATATGCCTTAATATCCGTATTTTTCAGATTTCAATGTTTCTCATGATTTCAACAGGGGATAGTGTTCGCCTACCAATGAGGTGAACTGGTTTGAATCCCAGCGATGGCTGGTCGATACAAATTCCCAGTGGCCCCCATCCCCCCAAGCTCTTGGGCGCATTCTTGGGCAAATTCTAAATTCCCCCCCCCCCCCAAAACCATTCGTTTTATTTAGTGTAAAAATTCCCCCCTTGATGGGGGTCCCTGCAAATTCCGCATCCGGCTTGCACCAACCTTAGTGCTGACGTTAAATATCCTCAGTGGTAGACAGATCATGTGTTAGAGTCCCTAGCTCGTCAGGCTAATCATGGGAGGTTTTCGTGGTTTTACTCTCTATGTAACGAGAATACGGGCTAGTTTTATCAAAAAGCAAATTTCTCCCAATACTCGATCCAGGACTTCCTTTGTCTTCTGGATTGGGTTCAAAATTACAAGACTATGGTGTTGAAGATTGGTAGTCGCAAACTAAAAATTGTGTCAGCTGTTCAACGACGGTAATATGCTTAAGAGGACGCTATGCCTAACGGTGAGATCTTTCATCGCAAATTCTCTTTCATTTTCATAAGTAATTTAATATTTGAAGTCTAGAAAAGGTAAGTTCAGTCAAACCTACTGTAAGTCATTAAGTTCAAATTGCTGAAAAGGAATTTCAAAATATTAAAATGCAAACAAAGTATTGGAAGAGAGTTTTTTTTTCAGAGTAATCCTAAGTTATCGTATCATAATTTGTTTGCATTTTGATATTTTGAAAGTTTCTTTTCAGCATTTGAAATTTCATGACTTATTCTAAGAGCCGGGATGTCCTTGTTGGTAGGACGCTGGGCTCATGTTCGTGAGATCGTGAGTTCGAATTCCGATCTGTGGATGAATGAATTGAGTACGACTGGGCCCTCCCTGTAGAATGGGCAGTGACGTGTATGTGGATGAAGTATTATTCTTGGCCATAGATGGCTCCACTGGAAAACAAGAAACGCATCCTCTGCCTTAAAAGCACTTTCCATTAACAGGCTTGCTAGTATTTGCAAGGGGCATCATTAACAACATGACTTACTCTAGAATTGTCTAAAAACTCACTTTTCTATACTTTAAATTTTAAATAACTAATCGAGGTGAAAGAGAATTTGCGATGAAAAGTGTCTCCCATGTTATAACGTCCTCTTAAGTCAGCTTAATTCCCATTTTTCTCATGTTCGTGATTCCTATGTTTCCCAAGTTTCCGCTAGTTTACAATTTTTTTTTAAAGCATTATGTGTTTGTAATTCAGTATTTAGTTGTACATTAGTGGACGTAATCCCAAAAAATTAGGTCGTCTGTTCAACGACGGTACTAAAATAAAATACTCTTTAACAGATTTGCTGTATCAAAATATTTTACCGTAGACTTTGACTGAACCTTCCGTTGAGCCGAGTGAGTTCTTCGAGAAACACATGTAGATGCCGTAATCCTGTGGTTGAATGTTTTTGATTGTGAGTCGTATATGAGATTTGTACGTCTTTTCTTTGCTCACTATTTGAAGTTTTTCATTGGAGATCAGCATTTCATTCTGTTTCCTTCCCCAGTAGTTAATAGATGTGGGATAAGCTTCTGTATGACAGTCTAAGGTCACATCTCGTCCCATCACCACTCCAACTAATTGATTCGGAATCCAGAGCACCGGTGGAACTTAAAAAAAAAGCACATTTCATCATCATACTTACTTTTATATATTCTTCGATTCAAATTGATTAATTTATTAAAAAAAATAAATGAAGGCTACTGAAGTTTTTATCAAGTCATAATTATTTAGTGGGGTTGTTACTTATTTTTAGAGAAATTTAAATACATAGATACTAGAGCGACGGGTCCCAATCGTTTTCAGTTATGGAACCCTAAATAATTAACTCTTATTCAGTGGATTCGTCAATGAAACAATAAGATTTCATCAATAAAACAAAAAGAAGAATAAATGTTTCTTAATCATCAATTATCTTAAGTTGGTTTTTTATGTCCGATAGTCAAATTCGAAGTCGCGGGGCTGTATTTAGTCTAGTTATAATTTTTTTTTTTTGGTTTAATATATATTTATATCTGAAAATGAATAAAAAAAAACAGAAATATGGTTTTCCTTTAAATAAAAACTAAAACTAACAGATATAAACGTTGAAAATCGTTATGAGGAAAGAATTCTTATTAATAAACTTGGTAGTTTTATTTTTATTTGAAAAAATACGATAGTAAATAGCTATTAAAATTTTATTAATACATTATTTTTTTTAATAATTCATTCAATGTATTGTTCCTGGAAAAATTATAATTAATAGGAAAAATTTTCAATTTTTTTCAATGATTTTTTTCTTTAAATAATTTCACAAGGGCAACCGAAATATGAAGTAAGCGGTGGTTTAATGATTGGATCTAACAATAGTTATAGTTTTCTCGGATTATTTTTTAAAACAAATACTTTAACTCTCGGAATCCCTTTTTACTCTTCCACGAAATCCTAGGGTTCCACGGAATACTATTTGGGAACCACTGTACTGGAGAATCAAGTTCTTTAAAAATTAAGGCAAAATCAGTATTTTTTTTAGATTCTCTTTTCTATTTTTTAAACAGTCAGAATCGTCTGAGAAGGAAGTTTGGGGCAATTTTTGTTACCATGTAATTAAATTTTGTAAGTTATATTTTGACTAGTTTTGTACGTTGTTAAGTCATTTTATCTACCATTTAATCTTTGGTACTTTATTTGCTTTTTACTGTTAAATATTTCCCAAGAAAAGTACGCCATTTTTGGGGCTATAATATTTACTCTAGATCCGTCAAAATGAAGTACTTTTATGTTCGTTGTCTTTTAAAATACTGTTACATAGAATGCCAATTTAGGTCATTTTAAACGTAATAGTTTAAACAAAGCAGCTCCCTTGTAAAAAAAAAGTTGAATCTAGTTTATTTTGGTTCGTGTAAGCGAAAATTCAAATAAAATAAAAATCCATTTCAACGATAATTGCAATAATAGTGAGTGAAAAATATTCTAAAATATAGCAATCTTTCTACGAACATTCAGCTTTTTTTTTCGCATTAATATTTTAAAGTTAACTTAGATATTTATCATAATAGTGAACTTCTCGCAATATGCCGCACACGTTACATTGAGCTTTTATTATAATTATGGTCATCTACGTAGCAACTATTTTAACTTTTAACATCAAGAGAAATGTAAAACATTCATTTATACATAATAGCTGTAATATTATATTAACTATTAAACTGCGTTTTAAGTTTCAGAACATTTCTTCCATTTTGGAATGAAAAAAATCTGTGTGATAGTTATCAAATATTTATATCTTCATTGATGTCGTTAAATTATGCATTTTATTTAATAATTGTGCGCGATTTCCGTTACTGTAAAATAATACCAATTTTACTCTCACAAGAAAAAGTTTTACTTAGGAAATAAATTTTGCATTTGCATTGTTTTACTTTTGGTAAATGTTTCTTAGAATAAACAATGGTATCTTTTATTGAATCACTCTTTTTATTTAATAATAAAGACGATTTATTATGTTGCAATTTCCGTTACTGCAAAATATTACCAAACTCCCTCCGTTTTACTCTCATAAGAAAAAGCTTTATTTACGAAATAATATTTTGCATATGAATTGTTTTATTTTTGGTAAATGCTTCTCATAAAAAAACAATGGTATTTTCAGTGATTCACTCTTTTTATTTATTAAAAAAGACGATTTATATTGAGTGAGATTTCCGTTATTGCAAAATGTTACCAAACTCTCTCCGTTTTACTCTCTTAAGAAAAAGTTTTACTTACGAAATAATATTTTGCATTTGCATTTTTTTTTTGGTAAATGTTTGTTAGAATAAGCAATGGTATCTTTTATTGAATCACTATTTTTATTTAATAATAAATACGATTTATTATGTTGCAATTTCCGTTACTGCAAAATGTTACGAAACTCTCTCCGTTTTACTCTCTTAAGAAAAAGTTTTACTAAGGAAATAATATTTTGCATATGAATTGTTTTACTTTAGGTAAATGTTTCTTAGAATAAACAATGGTATCTTTTATTGAATCACTATTTTTATTTAATAATAAAGACGATTTATTATGTTTCAATTTCCGTTACTGCAAAATATTACCAAACTCTCTCCGTTTTACTCTCATAAGAAAAAGTTGTACTAAGGAAATAATATGAATTGTTTGAGACATTCTTACAGTGAACATGAAGAATAATCCTTCTACTGACGGAGGGTGGGACACCATTGGCTGCTATACACAAATAGGCTCCAGTATGCAGTCGACTCACTCGCGTTATACTTAGCACTTCACCTTCATATGTCACAGCATTGGGATCTGCAACACAATATAATTTGGTAAACAAATGTACAATTTTTTTTTTCTGACAAGGTTTTTAGAAGATAAATTTTTTATTCATTTTTTTCCCTCACCTGTAACTTTTTTCCCCTGCCATGCTCCTAGAGGTATTGGCTCATTGTCTTCCCGTCTCCACGTGATGTTGGGAGCAGGATATCCAACTGCCTTACATGTGAGCGTCACATTGGCACCTTCCCGAACTACCACGTCACTACTGCTCCCCTGATCCAGTATATCTGGAGGAACTGAATAAACACATAAAAATATTATGCAAACGATTATAAGCTAACTGTAGTGTTAATTAAAACGGTTGATACAAGTGCTGAATCAGAAATTTCAAAACAAAACGTCAGTTGGCGAGATTTGTTTGCTGGTAACCAACATTGGGGGTTTAATTTGAAATAGATGGAATGGTTTCTGTACTTTTAATGCAGACGAATTTTATAATTTCTAAATTTTTACTCAAATTTCAATATTTCTTTTGCTTTTATTGTACTAATTTTCAATAGTTATATATCATCAGTAATTTTTCATCTCCTTTTTACTCTTATCATGCGTTCATTTTCTGTTTATGCTATGACACATGTATTAAATGTTACGTTATATTTGTGTTAATGTTATTCTTATGTGCACAAAACATGTTGACATTTTCGGAGTGTAGAAGAGAAAAAAGACTTCAGACAATAGTTTAAAACATATGTAAGATTTGAAACTGAATTTGAGACCATTTTTTCAGGAGAATGTGTATATAGTTTACCCATTTGGAAACTATAGCTTTCACGGCATTTTGGTTTTTCGCACTCATTTTAAACTGCGCATGCAAATGTGAGAAACTTTGATAAAAAAATAAACGCTTCCTTTATAATTAGAAAAAAATTGAATATTCGAGTTTCTACTACTTAAACTCATTTAACACTAGAAAGACTGAAACTTAGTATATACCCATATTGCCCAAAAGCAGACAAAATGAATGGATTGTAAAAGAATAAATAATGCGTAAAGAAATTTGCTTAAAATTAATTTTCAATATTTTTTATATTACTTACAGTTATATAACAAGTTATTAGTAAATATTAACAATAAAAAAAATTATATGTTGTGCAAAATTCCAAGAAATTGTGTCATGATATACACCATTGTTTTTCTAATTGAAATTACAAGCAGTCAAAATAACTTCCTTAGGCAATCTAGTGTTAACTACAAAAAAGGTCGCGAGGGCAACGTTTCCTAATTGTGCGAACAATATACACATCCTTATGAAAAAATATTGTTAAAATCAGTTTTAAGGTTTTAAATATCTTACAAACTATTGCCTAAAGCTTTTTTTTTTCTCATACACGCCAAAAATATCAACATGTTATGTGCACATAAAAATAAAAATTATAAAACAATTCTGAAAGACTCATATACGGGAATTATTTTTCTGAATTAAAAATTCCTTTAGAATTTAAAGCTTGAGAGTAAATTTTTAGAAGATATATAATAGTATAGTTTGCCAGTTGCTCAAAGGTTGAAAAATTTAATGAAAACAAAATATTATTGCAAAATAATCCTATTTTTTCATCTTTTAGGAACAATGATATAAGAATAGATACTCTATTTTAATTAAAATCGCACCAGGCTAGTTGTAGAATTTAACAACTATAAATGTTTGTCAGAATGTTAATGAATAACTATTATAATTTCTGTCCATTCACCGAAACAGTTTTCCAGTTCGAAACTTTTGCTCTAACCAAACGTATTCCAATAAATTAATCAACGCCCTTTTAATACTTAATGGAGTTCAGAAGATAAACCAAACCGACAAATATGACAGCAGCGCCATCTTTCGATTAGGTGGGGAACAACTCCACTTTCAAACGTCATCCATCAAGCGGATCTATTGCGAGGGTGGGAAAACGAATGGTCTTCGAAGTAAAGGGGAAATTGAGACGGGGCGAAAACGAAATGATATAGGGGTTGATGAAAATCGTTCCAAAATCTTGCATTAGGCAGAGGTTAGTCATAATTGTAACCCTTGGGATCACTTGTTCGGCTATAAATTTTGATAATTGATTCGATTGTCATTCTATCTCAAAGCTAACGACCATTCACTGCGAAATTAAAGAAAGAATCGGAGTTAATATCGGTGGGCAGTAAAAGTCTTTCGTATCTATTACAAAGATTTGAGATAGACTTTAAATGTTTAAATGAGGAGGTTATAGATCTTCGGAACATTATAGTGTTCGGAAAATAGAATGGTTTTGTTGGAAAGTGAAAAGACTGGACGATTCTCTGAGATTTTTAATTTACAATATTGTACAACTCTCTCTCACTGATTTTTGAGGTAAAAAAAATAATAATTTTTTTCCCTTATAAAAAATAGAAAGTCTTATTGGTAGTCTTATTCTTTAAATTCTATAGTTTTTTTGACAGCGTATTAGTTACTAGATATGAAGCCTTATTTTTTCTATTTTGTGAAAAGTTTGTAGTTTTGTAGCAGATATTTACTATCTGCTACAAAATTACAATTTTACTCTCTTTCTGTTACATAGTACTAGGTGAAAGCCGCAAATAAGTTACCAGAAGTTTGTTTTTATAGTGTCTATGCTTAGTCGAAACTTCCTTTCATTAGTAGGAGAGTAGTTTCATAAAAAATAAATTCAAGTTTTTGAAAACAGCGAAAGACTTTTTTTCCGATGTAATATGTGTTCGGGTTTCAGCTATTATAAACTGTAATATCTCGAGCAATTCAACCAATGTAAACAATGATGGCAGGCGGCCATAAGGAATCTACCATCAAGATTGTTTATTACGAACCATTCCAAAATTGAAGTTGGTTGTTTTGTAACAGAGAGATTAAATAGAAAATATGGATTTTAACAGATATATATATATATATATATAGACAGAAATATATATTGTCGTATTAGAACTTCAATATATATCTCAAGAATCATCTCCTCTATGAAGAACACAGATGCTTGGCGGTGAATAGTTTTAAAAGAAAAGTATATGAAATGATTACCTAAGACATCTAAATATCCAACCTGACTCTTCATGGGCACTGTGTTGACTTGGCACATGTAACCACCCTTGTCAGATTCTTGAACATTTCGAATCTGAAGGATGAATTGGCGATTATCGCTGTGGCTCAAACTGATGCGATAATTGCGGGTTATGATGTGGTGATGGATTGTCAGTATGGCTTTCGTCTCCACTTTGATCCAAGCAGCCTGAAATGAGTCTCTATGATGCAATATGACGTTTAACTAATTTTCAAATATTTCTTAATAGCACCATTTTAACTTTCTTCAGTTCTGAATGTTTTCATTGCATTAAAATACTGAAAATGAGTTTTAAACAAGTCAATTTCCCGTATTTATATATATAAGTTTTTTTCCCCATCAAATATATAAAAATTGCATTAAAATTAATTCACATTTTTTGCTGACAATTGTGCTAGAAATTCAATTTTCGTGCGTGAAACATGCTGAGTATGTGAGACGTGCTGAGCAAGTGAGTCATGCTTCTTGCAAAAATTTTGACCAAAACTGACATGATTTATGACGAAGAATTTCCGCATATAGTATATAAAAGTGACATCTGTAACAACAGGTACTATCGTAACAATAGGTTCAAGTATATCTGTAACAACAGGTATAGTTCGTCCACCAGGGCTCCTCCTTCATCACGTGGCATCCAACGATACTATTTCGCTATTTCTGGGAGAAGGATGTGAGCAATCCTGAACAAGGTTGCTATTTGGAGATTGTATGACAAAAATATTTATTTCGTAATCTTCATGCGCATTTTTTTAGCATTAAATATTTCATGAATTTAATGAAATTTCTCTCTGAGTGAATAGTTCGTCCTTTTCGAGACATTTTGCGGGAAAAACGGCAGTTTTTAAATTTAAAATGTATTTAATTAGCTAGAAAAACGAAAGGTATAATTGCAGATGATAAAGCAAAGTAAGTGATAGAAAAATAATTCACCGTTTGCGTTTGGGGAGCATTAAAGGTTGTCTCATTTTCAAGAGCGGAGATGCTTCTCCTCTCAATCCCGCGTGCTGAAATGGAACTCTGCGTCCGAGGAGGTGGAGCCAAGTGCCAACTCCTGGTGAACGAACTATACTATCGTAACAGTGGATACATGTTTATCTCTGTAATAACAGGAACAAGTATAGCTCTAACAACAGGTGCTATCGTAATAACTGGAATAGTTTTGTGCTTAGTGAAAAATGCCAAGCAAGCATAATTGGAAACTCATCTTTAAACATACAAAAAAAAAGAAGCTTTTATTATGCAAGAAAATTAAATAGCTTAAATTAAACATCACAGAACTTTCCGGAAAAAAGAATCAACAAGAGTATTTTACTCTCTATATAATCTTTTCAATCACAAATCTAATCTAAATCTGTCTTTTAAAAACAAGCATACATCAAATATCCAATCAGAAGCACTTGCATTACGAGGGTAAAAAAAATCTTAAAAACTACATTTACATTTGACACACAATTTATTTCTACATGTCCGAAATAAGCTTAAAAAATAAAGCACATGAAAATTATAAGAATAGAAGCTTCTGTTAACTGTTCTAGAAAAAAAAAATTTATTTTGAAGTGTTGTTTATTCACATTCTTTCAAAATTCTGGTCCAAAACTGACATGATTTATGAACGTTGTTTACTAATGTTTAATAATATTTTGCGTTGTAGGAAAAATAAAATTTGTCAAAAAACTAATAATAGAACATTTTTGTTCAAAAAAAAAAAAAGTTTCGAAATTTTATTCCAAAGAAACTGAAGGAAAAGTCCACCGCATGAAATGAAAGCAAGTCGAAACAACATAAACAGAATTTATTTCGGGTTCTTCGGGAACATGATCTTCTGGTACCGTTGTACACTGGGGGGAAGTTTTGAAGAAGGTCTATACCGCAAAGAAATACTCTTAAACAGTTTCGTCAATGGAAACACAATATTTACTCTAAAGAGAACACAAAATATTCCAGATATTGTTAAAGAAGAAAAAGAGGAGGGTATGAGAGAAGATAAAAGCAAACGGAAAGAAGATTCCAAAGTTAAAAGGGAATGTAAGATATGATTGTGAAGACTTTTGAAAAGGACAAAAGGAATACGTAAAAGTACTGAGTTTCGCTGACTTTTTTAACTAATTTTCANTTTTTTTTTTTTTTTTTTTTTTTTTTTTTTTTTTATTCTTTCCGAAACTTTCGTAGGTGTAAGTAATATTGAAAAACAAATCCAATCCTTCTTATTTATGCGAGTAAGAGTTTCGAAAAAGTAATAAAATAAAAAAAAAGGAAATGAGGGGAATACATAAGGAAAATAATAAACTTCGGATAAATATTCTTAAATATTATGTGGAATAATTTGTAAAATTTGAAGACTGGAGGTGATCTATTTTGTATGAAAAGTGGATATTTTTCTTACAGAAGTTCAACACACTTCAAAAAAAATTTTTTTTTTAAAGATTTTTCTAAAATATTTTATGTAGCGGTCAATATGATTATTTAGTTATTGTTAATACTAGATGATTATTAATAGTAATCAAATATTTAATTAATACTTAATAATTTATGATAATTTATCGTTTTTGAGGCAGGAAATAAAGTTAATAATTAGGTCAATAAGAGCCGTGATGCCTCAGGGCAGTGTTTCCTAAAGTGTGGTACGCGTACCCCCAGGGGTACGGGAACAGTTTAACGGGGGTACGCGTTCTTATGCGAAATATCTTTCAAGAAACGAAAATTTCAAAAATTTTTAATTAAAAACAAAGCTAGCCATGAAAATTTACGATTACGTATTTTTCTATTGGCTATTTTTTGCAGAGTTAATAGTTAAAAATTAGTGGTGTCAACAGCCAGTTGTGATTTTTAACTTTTTTTGGAACTTTTTTATAGTAAAAAATACATTCATTTTTCTTATTAGTGGTACACAGCGTTACGAAAAATTTAAAAAGGGTACTCAAAAGCCATAAGTTTGGGAAACACTGCCTCAGGGGATAGAGCGTTTGCCAGCCAGTAAAATAAACTGGGTTCGAATCACAGCGATGGCTGGTCGATGCGAATTTAACATCCGGTTTGCACAGACCACTCTGCTGACGTAAAATAACCTCAATGGCAGACGGATCATGGGTTACAGTCCTCTTACCGTTGAGCAAACTGTGGGAGGTTTTCGTGGTTTTCCTATCCATCTAACGCAAATGTGGGTGTTGCAACAAAAAGTCCTTCACAAAGGTAAATTTCTCCTAATACTTAACAAAGGAGTTCCCTTTTCTTCTGGATTGTGTACAAAATTACAGGCTACGAAGTTGATCATTAGTAGTTGTGACAAAAAATTAGGTCGGCTGTTCAACGACGATTATAAAATAAAATAAAATTAAGTGAATAAAGTTTGGTAAATGTGAGAATTTTTCAACATATTTAATATTAGTCTAAGAAATGAACTTTGATAACATCACTTTCTTTATTATTTATTTATGTACTGCATTAGAATTTACTCACTTTTAATAATTTTTTTAAGGTTAAAGGCCATTTCCTGGTATAATTTGTCTGGTTTACTGCACATTAATCTTTTTTTATGACGGAAATATTTTCATACTTGCGCAGTAATTTCTTTTAACCTTCTTTAAACCGGGAATCATTAATAATCAAATGAAAAAAAGTGATAATTAAATAATAACAAAAAAAGTATAATTTGCTGAAATATATCACATAAACCGGCCAGCATTAGTAACTACCTAACTTCATTGATAAGTAATAATTATGATATGTTTATGAGAGTGTATTTTCTTTGGACATTTATCAAAATAAGTGGTTAATAACTGGATTTATAATTTTATCTCTAGTTTAATAACCGTCATTGAACAGCTGATTTTTTACCAATGCCGCTGTTACCAATGTTCATCTCCGTAGTCTTGTAATTTTGAATCCAATCCAGAACGCAAAGGAACTCCTGGATTAAGTATAGGAAAAAATATGCGTTCCTGGAGAACTTTTTGATGGAACTAGCGCGTTACATGGAGTGGAAAACCACGAGAAGCTCCCACGGTTATCCTGATGGCAAGGAGACTCTAACCCATGATCCGTCTACTACTTAGGATATTTTACGTCAGCACTGTGGTTAGTGCAATGCGTGGGCGGAATTCGAATCGATCAGTCATCGCTGGGATGGAAACCTGGTTCATCTCATTGTCAGGCGGGTGCTCTATCACCTGAGCCACAGCAGTTCTTCTCCCTATCTATGTAGATAACGTGTTTAGGAGAAACATTTATACATAACTGAACAGCAATCATGCCACTTGACAGTGCTTTTCAAATCTCTTCGCCAATAAAGACTTTATGCGTTGAAACTGATAAATAACTAAAGTATTTTAAAAGTTAGTAAATTTTTAAAAAAAAATTGCCCATTTGGAGGGATTTTTTCACCTAGGTAAAAATTATTAAAAATCTACGAATAATTCTCTATTATTGTAAATTTTAATTAACCCAGATAACTCTGTGTTGGAGTTGATTTTGAAATATTATAAGATTAGATCACAAAAGCTTAACAGTTTCTCAAAACTAGGATGTCTTTTTACGTCATTTTCAGAATAAGTATTGAAGGTGTTGGCTAAATATAGGTCAAATTTCACTTGACGCTCTTTTTCGAGGCTCCGTCACCAAGGAAAATAAAAGAAAGTCATAGTTTAAGTACTTTACACTGGAAGAAATGTGATGATTTTAAACTATATATATATATGTATATATAATCTTACCACGAAGAATTATCTGGGCTTTAAAACCGACAAATAACTTAAATATTTTAAAATTTATTAAACTTTTTTAAAAAATCGCCAATTTGGCAACATTTTCCCACCTAGATGAAAATTATCAAAATCTCTGCCTTCTTCTCAGTTTTTTCAAATTTTTATGAGCCCAAGTAATGCAGCATTGGAGTAAGTTTTTAAATAATAAAAAATTAGACCACGAGCTCTTTTTATTTTCACAAAACTGTTACTTTTCTCCATAAAGATGTTCTGCGCCATTTTCAAAGTAAACACAGTGGCTTTATATAGGCTAAACTTGACCGAACATTCATGAGTAACAGTTTCAAATTCACAGCAGTTATAAAAATAGCATATTCGCAAAAAAACATCATTTCATATTACGACGGAGCCTTTGAGAAACAGCTTAACAGTCAGGAATACTAACATACAGCAAATGTGAAAAAATAGTATAGTAATGTTCCAAATATTAAAAAATAGCATATTATGAATTGATAGCATAATATTTTATCCTTAGAAAAATAGCATATTATTATACAACATGTTATATAATAACATAATATTATAAAAGTAGCATATGTTTATGTATCATATTCTTTATGTAATAGCATATTATAATAATAGTACGTATTATATTATGCTCATATAATACGTGTAATTACGATATATGTGATAACATAGCATTCGAAAAACAGCCCTAACAATTGTTTCTTAACAAAGCCACGTAAATAATCAATCTAAAATTTTTCACTTAAAAATACTTTAACAAACTACGTTACTTAACAAAATTTACATTAGACCATAAATATGACCTTTAACATTTTGTCGGAAGCAGAAACCATGAAAGGAACTTACTCTGTACGTGCCTAAATTTTCCACAGTGCAGCTAAGTTGAGCATCTCTACCGATTGCAATTGTTACGTTTTGAATGGATTCTGCAAATTCTGGTTCTGCTTCGAGCAAATAATCTAAAAGAAACAATGATGTATTTTAATAAAACAGAATTGTAATTTAAATTGTAACTGTACTTAAAAAATTGCTAATGCTTTAGAATTCTCAACAAGCATTGCACTGATATGAAAAAAAAAATGCAAAACATAATTTGATTAGTCCCAAAAAATATCAGAATAAATAAATTTATCGGTAAAAAATCTCATTTTTACGTTATCAGTTTTCGATAACTGTTAAATATTTTTTTTGCAGATTTTGATTTTTTTTTTAAATTTAAAATTGTTAAGTTTAGGAATTTGTAATGATATTTTCTTTAATCGTGATTATATTATCAATTATAATTGAATCGCTTATATATTTGAATCTATTCATCTCGATTCCATTAAATTCCTCTATATTACACTAAGTTTCAGTGATATAAAGCCTCATCATAAGAAATGATTATATGGGTTTCGATGTAATTTGATTACATTGGATTTGATGTCCGGATGTGTTGGTTTAAATGATATCGCTTTTGATAATGAATTACATGGGTTGAAAATTCAATCTAATGCCTTGTTGATTGACTTTTAGGTGGAAAAATGATTTTATGCTGTTATATATATTTTCTTTTATGAAAATGTAATATCAAATTTTCTCTCCGAGTTGAAGAAAAAAAGGTTTGATTTATAATAGAAAGATGAAATAATTGATGAGCGGATTTGAAAAAAGGTTCGAAATATAAACTAGATTTCAACATTTCTCATTAAATTTATCTTTTAAAAAGGTCTATAATTTTACTAAGTTATTGTATACATCTCTAACCTGCCAGTATTGAAAATAATAGAAAATTTCTGCGTGTTTTCACCAATAATCGTCTTTCTAGTGAGAAAAGCACAAAAAATCTCATAGAGAAAAAAGAAATTTAAAATATGGAAAAATTTATCAAAAGACGAAACATGGACATTGCATAAATAAATTTAATTTAAGTTCAATAACTCTTTTACCATTAAACTTGAAAGGAAATAAACACAAATTAAAATACTAAATGGTCAAAGTGTTATAAATTTTTCTTCTTCTTTTTTTATTAGATCTGTGAGTAAAAGTTTGAAGTAGTACATTAAGTACTATTTCGCCTGTAATAACAAACTAAATAATTTTCGAAAAATATTCTTCTGTAATACTCAAACAATAAAAAATGCTAATAAAGCGACGCACAACCTCTTGCTATTTATAAAAGTTTTTGAAATATCATTAAGTTTTAATCCAATTATCAATTGGATTAATTGTTTCAGATAAGTTCAAAATTTTTTATCTTTTAGTAACAGTTTGAAGTGACATAATAAGTTCTATTTATTTAATACAGTTTTAGTTTTTCATAAGTTATTGCCCTTTGTTATCTAAAAAATGCTGAAAATTTAAATTTAAATTAATAACCTTACAATTTTTCCTTTCCTGAGTAGCAATTTGGAATATTTTAGTTATCTCGTAAACAACTTTAATAACTTTTTGAAAAATGTTTTTACTCCAACACCCGAAAGAAAATAACCGTTAATAAAGCATCGGGCACTTAAATTGTAATTAATAAATAAATTTTACTTTTAATCTGCGTGTAATAGTTTGGAATGTTCTATTTTTTTTGTAAGCAATTTTAATCAATTTTTAAAGATTATTCTACTTCAATAATCAAAACAAAAGTAACGTTAATTACAAAATCGATTATTCGAATTGTAATTAATAAATCAGTTTTTTTTCTTAAAACTCTGAGTAACAGTTTGGATAGACCTATTTTTTTATTTCTTTCGCAAGTAATTTTAATTATTTTTTAAAAATTATTTCATCCCAATAATTGAAAGAAAATAAACGTTAACTACAAAATCAATTATTCAAATTGTAATTAAAAATTCAGTTTCTTTTTAAAACTATGAATAGCAGTTTGGATAGTCCTATTTTTTGTAAGCAATTTTAATTAATTTTTAAAAATTATTCCACTACAATAACCAAAAGAAAATAAACGTTAACTACAAAACCGGACACTCAAATTGTAAATAATAAATTAGTTTTTTTTTAAATCTCAGAACAACAGTTTGGACTATTTTATTGAGTACTAATTTTCTTGTAAACAAATTTAATTAATACTCAACATTTTATTTCACTGTGATGCACAAACAAAAAAGTAAACAAAACTACCGAAACATTCAAAGAACAAGCGTAATTATACCACAAACTACAGCATTTACAAAACTAAAACAGGCGTAATAACAACATATTTGAAGCAAGGCAGCATCACTCCAACTTTTCCTTTCAGAAGAAAGTTTCCCGGGGAGAAGAAACCATTGTTCTTAATACCGCCATAACGCCCTGTTTACCTGAGGAAATTCAGAATCTTTCAGGCGAATCATAAATTACTTCGGAACGCGACAAGCGTCCCCAGACATCGAAATCTTCGCACCTACAACCCTTCTACACCCCTCTTAATAACCCCTGGGGAGTGGGCGAGTAGCACGTTCGGTGATTAAATGCCCTTCACCCATACATACCCTATCCCGATCCCAAAATCTCACAGACTAATTGAGGGTAATGGAAATTTCAATAAAAGCATCCGCTCAGATTCTCTCCACTCATTAAAAGGAACACAGGTCGACTCGCTGTTAATGGAAAGAAGTACAAGGGTAGTTAAGTCACCCCCTTTTATCCTTTTTAACCCCCTCCCCTTTTTGTTTCACTCGGATTGGGAATAGGTAGGAGGAGCTGAAAAATGTAAGAAACAAAGAAATGTTCAATGGTTCTATTTTGAATCTGCCTTTTGCGTGAACAGGTGTAGACATAGTTTTGAAAGAATTGATTGAGTGGTAAGAATAAATAGCATGTCTGGACGTGTTCAGCGTATGTAATTTTGGAATGTAGTGTTTCGTGGTCATAAAAATGGGTAAGGATTAAAAAATGTCTATAGTTTTAGGTCTTAAGGTGTTTAACATTAATGGATTTCTATGGGTCTTGTGGTATTTACATAACTTTGCCATTATTTACAAAAACTTCGAGTTTTTTTTTAATAAAAACAATTGCGAGGCTTTTTACAAAATTTCAAAATTACTATCACATTTATTTTTTTTTAAATAAAAACTTATGAGCTTATTCTAAAACAAAAGTGGGGTTATTTATAAATTTCTCTTTTCTTAATACTATTATTTTAAAAATTTTTTTAAGGAAGTTAATAATCAAGTGTGTTTATTAACAAAAATTATGCTTTCATTGCTTCGCAAGGACTTTGAACACAGAAAATAGGCCTTCCAACATTTATACTTCAGAAAATTGATCGTACGAATGGTGAAAGGCGCAATTTGCTCCAGCACAGTTATTGCCACTTTATTTACCAGACCTGAATTCGAGGGGTTTTCCCGTTTTTAGTACATCTTGGAAACAGGGATTTGGGCTTAAATCACTAAACAACAAAAATAAAGGCTTTGGCATCTGTTAAAAATTCTTGCGCAAGGAATAAAATAAATATATTAATTGACTTGCAAATAAATAAAATAAAAAATTAATAAGATGAATAAAATAAAAATATTAATTGACTTGCGTGTCAAAGAAGAGCATTTGTTACATTTTGCATTAAGACCAAAAGTAGTCGAATTTTATATTCATTATAATTTTGATCCAAGGTAGAAATGATAGTGTTACATTTTGTAAGTTTGGGCGAGACATTACAATTCGTAAATTGATCTTCAATATGCGCAAACCATAATTTCAGAGTTTCATTCCAAAAAGGAGAAGGTTTTACTGAGACATTGAGTTATCGAGCTCTGCATTTCTTGTGTTAGGCATAGCTTATTCCATGGTTGCAATTTTAAGACCAAAGGTTTCTTCACACTTTGAACACTTATAAATATGTTACAGGGAGTCAGGACCTTATCTACAAAATAACACTTTCAACGGAAGAACGTGTCGACAAAACAACCTTGTCGACGAAATGACCCGGTCGACGAATTGACCTGGTCAACTAAATGACCCGGTCGATGAAATGACCCGGTCGGCGAAATGACCCGGTCGGCGAAATGACCCGGTCGACGAAATGACCTAGTGGTGTCGATGAAGCGGCCTGTCTATGAATGTGATTTTCGCTGAAATGAACGCGACTCGCTACAGAGAGCAATGTTTCATGTTCAGCATTAAAATTATTGTGTTTTGCATGGAAGTTATTTTTTCCTCCTTTNAGTAATAAGTAATCAAATGCATTGTTTGCAAGAATCTCAAAACACAATGATGCCAAATGACTTTAAAATACAACTGAAACAGTAACCCGGAAATTTAGGCAGTCCCGAGCTTGCAGCGCTCCCTAGTGTAGAAAACACCATCCATAAATATGTTACAGGGAGTCAGGACCTTATCTACAAAATAACATTTTCAACGGAAGAACGTGTCGACAAAACGACCTTGTCGACGAAATGACCCGGTCGACGAATTGACCTGGTCGATGAAATGACCCGGTCGGCGAAATGACCCGGTCGACGAAATGACCTAGTGGTGTCGATGAAGCGGCCTGTCTATGAATGTGATTTTCGCTGAAATGAACGCGACTCGCTACAGAGAGCAATGTTTCATGTTTAGCATTAAAATTAGTGTTTTTTGCATGGAAGTTATTTTTTCCTACTTTATGTATGCATATTAAAGTAATTAAGAAATGGGTAAAAATAAAAATGCATGTTTCATTTTCACTAATAAAAGTTCGAATAAAAAAAATTTAAAACTTCGTCAAGGAAATAATATTTTAAGCATTAAATGTCATACTTATTCTTGAATTTTATATTCTTGAATGTTATATTTCATTTATTCTAATATTTTGTGAAATTAGTTTTAAAAAGCATTGAAACATCAAAAAGCTGTTCATAAGACATATTTTTAATTTAAAAATCGATTACTTTTAAAAAATTGCACTATGTATGTATATTAATTTCGAAACAGTTTGTTTATAAAGTATTCCTTAAGATGCTCTTCGTTGCTAAATGCATTGATTTATTTTGCTGTCGATCTTCATTCA